GTTGGACCAGCTGAGTTGTAAGGGCACTTCCATTTCCACTGTGCCACATTTGAATTCGTTGATTTCTTTCCACGACACCCTTGCTGCCTCCGCCAGCGCAGAAGCAGGAAGAAAAGCTTGCCCATTTTACGCTTGTTTGACTCTATTCCTTTCCTACAAGTGCTCTCTTTGCTTCAACTGTCCCAAGACAAGCATGCCCAGATGTCCTGTTTTAATTAGGTTCCTTTTCTCTTTATGGCTTTTGCACAGGTTCCCCTCCTCCCTCCCTCCCTCCCACCTCCCAGGCCCTAACCAATCTGTCTGAAAAGGAGGGGGGGGCGAAAGCATGTCCTCCTTTTCATTGCACAAATAGGGTTTTCTTAGTATTATTGCAGTCGTTTTTGTGCTAAATAGATCCGAGCTGGATGGGAAGAAAGTCACCACGCGTAATGATGAAAGTGAATTCTTCCACTCTCACACACCATAACGTGTCCACTTAAGAAAACATGAGATTGTGGAGGCAGACGCTTCTGTTCATTTCTTTTTTTCCTTCTCCATTGGCCTGGATTCATTGTGAGAAACTTGACAAAGCTCCAGAAGAGAGGCAGTATGCTGCGAGGAGGGCAATTAATTAAATCACAGATCAGTATTACTAAGCAGATAAGCCACCATTCAAAATCTCCCATGGCTAATGAGTGTCCCCATTCTTGCCTCCCCCCCCCCACTCCACCCCTCCCCCTTAGGGGAGGTAGCTGAACTGGAGGAGAGGAATTTTGGCTCTGATGGCTCATCCTCATTCAAGGCCTGTCCTGAACTGTGTCTCAGTGGCGCAGAGGGAGCCTGTGGAAATGAAATGCTAAATGAATTAATTAACTTGAAACTATAGAGACACCCCTTAACCCATTCCCTGTGGACTTGGAGCTCAGCGCATGCGTGTGATATGAAATTCCCTGAGGATGCATTCTCACCACCAATGTCGCTTGGCAGTAGCCAAGCAAAGTGACAAGGCAGAGGGAGGATTTTATGTACAACATTGTCCTACATTCGTTGTCCTACTGTCCTCAGAGATTTGAAATCTCCACGTCGCCTTTGGTGTGTTTGTCTAGTGGCATGAAGGGTGGGGGTGGTAGATTATTTATTTCTTTAACTTCAAAACCTGTTATCCTAAGAGCATAGACATTTCACGGTGTGATGATACTATTGTACTGCTGAGACAAGAAACTGCACACCCAAGGGCCTTTGAAAAGGTAAACCCAAGTACCTGGGCTTGAGTAGGCTAAACGCCTTGTAAACCACTGCAAAGAACTCCTGCAACAGAGCAGTGTGCTAAACAAATGACACAGATTTCCCTAGCATCAGTTATTGCTAAGGAAAGAGAATTGTGATTAGGAAACCAGGCAGCTGGTTAAGAACAAACTTCTGCAACTAACCCCAATCCAGACTAGCAGTGTGGCCTTAGGCAAGTGGCTTCATTTCTCTGTGTCTTAAGTTTCCTCATCTTTGTAAAAGGGCAGAATACAGGGTTGCTAGGAGAATTCGTGTGATTGTGCAGGTTTTCTTTTTGGATGTGTTTCTGGAACAGAAAAGCCTCAAACATGAATAGAAGTACTACCATGTGATACTTTGGCTGAAACAACAGAGCACAGTTAACCAAGCGCCTTCTAACTTCACAGAGGTCTCAGACCTCAAGGACTGGCCAATGGATCAGATAGAAAAGGAACACTGGCCACAGTACATTCAATCGCTTGGGCCATGGAGTCAGGATGAATCTGATTGGTTCCGGAAGAGCTGTAGTTCCCCTCAGGAGAAATGATATTGGAGACTATGGAGATGCTTGTGGAATGGTGAAAGAACATAGTTTTAAAATAGAGTTAGTAAATTTTAGCAACGACAACCACCCATTGGAGTGGTACTGTGGGTTACTGTTTTGTAAAGTAAATTAAATAAATGCATGTTTTCAGTCTTAGTCACAGGCCAACTCTTCCCAACACTTCTCTAACCAGAAACCATGCTTAATTTACTAACATCCTTTGAGGATTTAAATAGCACATGGATAGAGTGGAACAGTGGATGCTATTTCTACTTTCAGAAAGTTTGGCAAGCTTTTTTAAACCTAATGTTTTTATCTTTTTTTTTCTTTGTTCTTTTATTATTATTTTTTAATTGAGTCCTGGTAATGTGTAGTTCTTATCCATGATTTGAAGATAAGAATTGGAAGAAAAATATAACGGTTCGCTTTTCTGAATGGTAGAAACAACTATTGGACCGGAAGCCATGGAACTAACTTGGTTTAATATAACAGTTCTGGAATAGGGAGTGTAGAGCGAAATTGCTAAGTTAGCAAGCCTTTATAGTATCCAAATGATGATGGATAATAAACTTCAAGAAAATGCTTATTTTGTAGGAGTAGGCATAAAAATGGCTGGCAAGCTTTGATATGAACGACTCTAAGGAAATATGTTTAGGGACACATTCCTGAGGTGTATTTCAGAAGATTATAATGATCCTTAATCTCCTTATCTGTAAGGCCTGTGTCTCAGGCATCAGTTTAGAGTTTAAAAAAAAAAAAAACAAGCTTGAGTTTGGTATTATCAGGCTGCGAATAATATTTAGAGAATATTAAATAAACAATTTTTTAAAGTGATTGGTTATCTGTGTATTCACCACGTACCTTCCCTCTCCTGCCCTCCTGGCCTCCCCCCATGTTGGTGCTGAAACCCATTGCCTATTGGATAGAAAGCTGCTCAATCAAAAAACTATTGCCCCGCCCCCAAGTAAAGGTCAAAGTTAAACTGAAACAAGGGCCAAGGTATCGCGATACTTTGCGACATCGGGATCACAGAACTCATTTGCTTCCGCCAGCAGGCTAAATAGTACCATATAACTTGTTCATTTTCTAACACCAGCAGGCAAGGAGTAGCACAGATAATGTTGTTCTAGTAATGGAGAAGTTCTAGGAAAAGTTTTCCACCCGAGGTTTCAGCAGGATACACTAAATAATCTGGAAACGTTGCGCAACTACGCACTCGTTTTTTTTTGGTGCGCCAGAATCTGTGTGCTTCGTTATGGGCGGGGCCATTGACGACTATATAAGCGGGTGCTGCTAGCTACTCAGTCTCTTCAGTCGTCTGGGACTTCCCTAGTCCCAGACGACTGAAGAGCTACCCCCAGGCAATGGCTATCTGACCTATGTGTGAGTCAGACTTATTTGCGATACAATACTGTTACTTTTAAGGTGTGCTATTCACAGGAGATAGTAACAGAGTGACTTTATGGTTGCCGTAATTGACAGGAATTCTCATCTGGATTTAGGGCTTAATGGTACTGCTCCACAACCACCACCAAAGCCCGTGTAAGAAGCGGAGTCCTTAGCGCACACATATGCGTGTGCATATGAATGTGTGTGTGTGAGTGTGTGTGTGTGTGTGTGTGTATAATTATGATTATTTTTTCTAGTCCTGAGACTTAAACTCAGGGCTTAGGTACTGTCCCTGAGCTCCTGAGGTTTTTGCTCAAGACTGGTGCTCTACCACGTGAGCCACAGCTCTATTTCCACCTTTTCTTGGGGAGAAACTACTGAATACGACTCTCACAGACTTTTCGCTCCAGGCTGGCTTCGAACTGCAATCCTCAGATCTCAGCCACCTACCGGCACTAGGCTTCAAATATAAATTTTAAAATATGCTAAATATGTTATAGTATCATTTTAGAAGAAATATAATCAAATGTTCTCATGAGCTTTTTACTATAAAATATTTTCCTTTTCAGCTGAGCGCCGGTGGCTCATGCCTGTAATCCTAGCTACTCAGGAGGCTGAGATCTGAGGATCGCAGTTCAAAGCCAGCCCAGTCAGGAAAGTCCATGAGACTCATCCCCAATAAACCACTAGGAAACCGGAAGTGATGCTGTAGCTCAAGTGGTAGAGCACTCACATTGAGCTGAAGAGCTGACGTATAGAGCCCAGGCCCAGAGTTCAAGACCCACTACCGACAAAAAAAAAAAACAACGAATAAACCACTAGAAAACCGGAAGTGACCTACAAAAAAAAAAGCATAGAAGAACCTTTCTCCTTCAGATGAGTAGAGGGGGAAAACACGTCAAGTTTTGGTCCTTTTGGTATGCTTCACTAGCCAAACCTTGAATCTCTCCTGAGACGGCTTTAGTCTTTTTTCCTTTCCCTCCCTCTTCCCTTCCCTTCCCTTCCCTTCCCTTCCCTTCCCTCCCCTCTTCTCCCCTCTCCTCTCCTCCCTTCCCCTCCCCTCCCCTTCTCTTTTGTTGGCTTGAACTCAGGGTCTGGGTATTGTCCCTGGGCTTTTTCCATCAAGGTTATATCGCTCTACCACTTTGAGCCACAGCACTACTTCCAGTTTCCCTGTGGTTCATCAGAGATGAGTCTCATGGACTTTCCTGCCTGGGCTGGCTTTGAACCGTGATCCTCAGATCTCAGCCTCCTCAGTAGCTAGGATTATAGGTGTCCAGCCTAGGCTTTGTTCTTCTAGATAACCCACTAAACTGAGAACACAGTCAGAGAAGAGATCTTGGTCATGGATGTATCCCAACATGTAGAAGAAAAGGAGCTTGACTATTTGTTGACTGTTAGCAGACTATTTGCCACTATAAATGGATGTTACCTGGCATCATCTCATGGTCTGAAAACATTGATGAGATCTTGTGGTCAGCTTGAATATTAGAGTGAAATATAGTCATCCTTCGCTTTAGTTGGGAATTTCTTGGGTTTTGTTTTGTTTTGTTTGTTTTGGTGGATCATGGGTCTTGAACTGGGCCTGGGCACTGTTCCTCAGCTCTTCAGCTCAAGGTGGGCCTCTACCACATGAGCCACAGCACCAGTTTTGGTTTTCTGGTGGTTCATTGGAGATAAGAATCTCAGGGACTTTCCTGCCCAGGCTGGCTTTGAACCATGATCCTCAGATCTCAGCCTCCTGAGTAGCTAGGATTACAGGCGTGAGCCACTGGTGCCCAGCTGGGAATTTCCTTGACGTATCTTCTCTTTACCTTCACAGATACAGTCAAAAAGCGGCAAGGAATGGAATGAAGAATCAATTCAACCTCCATGAGCTGAAAATGAAGGGCCCTGAGCCAGTGGTTAGCCAAATCATTGACAAACTGAAGCACATTAACCAGGTATGTGGTGTACTCAACCAAAATGGAAAGGGCAAGAAAAATGACAGGTGGACAGTTTTTCACTGTTCAAACTGTATGTGTATGCTTTGGGAAAGGCAGCTGTTATTCATTCTTGTCAAAGTGTTTCTCTACTAGAAAGGATTTCTGACCCTCATCTTTTGCTCTACTTTTAAATTATTATGGCAATAGCACAGTGTGAGAGACAATTTAGAAAAGAGAGGGAAACTATTTTTCACAGTCCCTCTAACCTATTGTAGTTTTACTCAACATATTCTTTCTTCTGTCCGGAAAAAGCACTTAGTCATTATTCATAATTAGAAGTCAAATTTTGCAGGTCTTCAGAAAACAGTATGTTGAACACACTTTCTTAGTTGCTGTACATCTTCAACTTAATCATTTGCTGTGGCTTCGTAGTATTCTGTAGACCATTCATCATAATTAACTAGACTGCTTTGCTGATCATTTTCATTGCTTCCAATTTTGCATCATCCTAAAATTATCTCTTCATATGTAGTGCTTTTTTTTCCTAATCTTGTGTGTTTTAATCTCGAAAATACTCTTTTTTTTTAAATTCAGAGAACACTTTATGCGTTTCTCTAGCCAAACCTACGTAGTGTACTTGTATCGGGTTGGAGGGATCAGCACATTATTAATGTTTGAGTCCAAGTTGCTTTCTAGTGAGAATATATCACTTTGCACTAGCACCAGCAAAATAGGAGAAGTCCAATTTCACCACACCCTTGCCCACTTCTGACTCACTACCATGTATAGACACCCACAGATTTCCCTGACCTGAACACATAATTTTTTCTTCTCCTAAGGAGTTTAGTAACAAGACACAAATAGAAGCTTGTAGTACCATCTGCTTGTGATTGCTTTGTGGTCACAATAAAAAATTTAAAAAAAATAAAATAAAGCCACCAGAAATGTCAATGTGATGGTGTTTCTACCCTGTGATTCATGAATTGGAGGGCTGTGACACCAGTGGCTTTTTTCTATTCGTAGCTTCCCAAGAACTTAATGATAACTATAATCCTTATACAAGGACAGCAGTTTCTGTATGAACACATTGCCATGATTTTGAGCGTGTGTGTGTGTGTGTGTGTGTGTGTGTGTGTGTACTGGTTCTGGGGCAGCTCAGGGCCTAGGTACTGTCACTGAGGTTTTTTTTTTTTTTTTTTTTTTTGCTCAAGCCTAGCTCTCTACCACTTGAGCCACAGCTCTGCTTCTGGCTTTTGGATGGTTAATTGGAGATACGTCTCTCAGCCCTTTTGGCATGGACTGGCTTTGACCCACAACCTTCAGAACTCAGCTTCCTGAGTAGCTAGGGTTGCTGGTGTGAACCAACAGCACCTGGCTACAACTTTGTACTTACTTTTTAATAAAAAGCTTAGCAATGACAATTTGGTGTTTCTTTGAACATGTTTGTAAGAGTTTTCTAATAGGGATGAATTTCACATTGCATTGTGACCATATTTTGTTTTGTTTTGTTTTTTGTTGGTTGTGGGACCTGAATTCTGGGCCTGGGCGCTGTCCTTCAGCTCTTCAGTTCAAGGCTAGTGCTCTACCATTTGAGCCACAGCACCTCTTCTGGCTTTTTCTGTTTATGTGGTGCTGAGGAATCGAACCCATGGCCTTATACATATGGCAAGCACTCTGCCCCTGAGCCACCTTCCCAGCCCCCCAGTATGACCATACTGACAAGCATGCTTCCCTTGAGGACAGTGATGGTATTTCTCTTCCAAATTATTTCAAACTTAATGTGTCTGGATAGCTCCACTCAACCAAAGAGATCCCACCACTGATGAATGGAGAGAACCTCACAGCCAATTACTATCGTCCTAATCCTAAATGAGAGATTCTGTTAAGTCTGTCTGATAACAGACCTTAAGAAGTAGCCACTATGTGCCCAGCTAGATAGACATAATATAGCAAGTTGGAGTAGATAAAGGCAGGCAGGGAAGGGGCACTCAAAAGAAAAAAAATCAAAGACCTATGGGTGAATCTTCCTCAAAGAAAAGGGAAAACTAGATCGGACATGGGTTTCTATGATCCAGAAGTCACTAAAAATCTTTCCAACAAGCCCCTTTAGTAAAGAATTCAGGTATAGGAGAAAGAATATGGGCTTTGGATCCAGATGAACATGAATTCAGTTCTGGATCTTGTCAGATAATCTAACCTTAGGCAAATCACTGAAATTCTTTGAGCTTTAGTTCTGAGAGAACTACTATTGAGAATACTATTGGGAATACTACTGAGAAATATTATTCAGAATAGTATTACAGAGCTCTCAAAAGCTTTCTCCTTCCCCTTCTTTCCCCCGCCCCACCCCCCCCTCCAGCTTCCTTCTTAGGTGTGATTGTACACACACAACTATATGTACAGGCCCTTATTAAGTAGTTATGAGGGTTTTGCCAAGGCCTTTCCTTATAGATAGGACTTGCTTTTGAGATTTACCACTTTATGCCAGGCTCTTTGCTTCTTGTAGTTGTGTAGGGTTATATACCCCACTGAGGCCTCTCTTCTTGCCTTTCCTGATTTGTTTTCTTCTTTTCCTTGCTTCTAACTTTCAGCCACAAAAGCTGAAACCTGTTCATAGAGTGGGAGGTATTATATATATATAGAGAGAGAGAGAGAGAGAGAGATTGTCAAAATTGAGAAAGTCACTGTTAAAATTATTACTTTCTCTGATCGTAAATTAATATGTGAACTTTATTAGTTTCCATAGAAATACCATTGAGCAACCAATTAATTCTCATTGATAGACAAGTTTTACCTGTTTAAGCGGAGCTGTTAAAATTGGTTGGGCTCCAAACACCCACAATGACTTTATAATTTTTCTCATCTGTGTTGCTTTGCATGGTGAAAAGAGTTTTTCTGACCTTAAATAAAACTAAAACTGACTTTTGGCTATGATTCAATGTGACAGTGCAATGCTTTAGAGATGTCATAAAGAAATGATGATGATGGTGGTGGTGGTGGTAGTGGTGATGGTGATGATGATAATGTGCTATATTTGCATACCACTTAACCATATTTCAAAGTTATTTCATGTTCTAAAGAGTAATTGCATAGGAAAAAAGATCCAACCTGGGATTGTGTGTAAGATACAGTCCTGTTACAGAATCTTTCTTTTCAAGGAGTCATTGTTGCCCTTGGCCATTGTTATCCTACTTATTGCTCCCTCAGAGGTAAATGATAAATAATGAATGTTGTGTTTTTTTAAGCTAAGGAAACTGAGGCAGAAAACCTTTAAAGACTGTGCCAAAACATCCAGTAAGTTTAGTTGACAATCCATCATTCAGATGTTGTTTCCTAGGCCCTGCCAAACATCTGGATTCACTGACTGCCTGACTAAATTGGCCTAAAAAGTTTTGGTGATGGGAAGGTAAAAACAAATTAACTTGCCTCAGTTCATATGTAAGTGGGTGGTGCATGCAAGAGTGTAATGTTATTTTCTGAACCCCACTCCCTACCCCAGCTTGTTTTAACCTATAAATCTACAAATACAGACAGATATATCCATTATCTATGCCTCTATACCCATGTGTGTCCATCTCATTGAACTTTGGCGAGAGCATTTATGCACATATCTCAAAATAACTCTTTACTTCCTTCTTTGGAAATACTCAGCTGCCTCCTTTTAGATTATGGTTGCTGTTGATAGCCCTGGAAATAACATATCCACTAAGGGAATAAAGCAACATTATTTCCATGCTGACAATCTCATAGTATAACTTTGAGGGGAATAGGTTCAGGGTCAGTGCTGGGCTTTTTCCCAGGGAGGCTTACAGGTGTGAAATGTCCTCCCTCCTCCTCCTCCTCAACGAGATCATGTGGAACATTCTCACGATTAGAAATGAAAACTTTTTTAAAAAATCCTTTACAGTTTCTAATTTGTATGATGATTTATTGTATGGTATTAAGAAAGGAATTGAACTCTTGTAAGTTCTCAATGTCAGTCCTGGAATTTTCTTTAAAAAAAAAAAAACAACAGGGGCTGAGAAGGTGGCTCAGTGGTAGAGCGCTTGCCTTGCATGCATGAGGCCCTGGGTTCAATTCCTCAGCACCACATAAGCAGAAAAAAAAAGCCGGAAGTGGTGCTGTGGCTCAAGTGGTAGAGTGCTAGCCTTGAGCTGAAGAGCTGAGGGACAGTGCCCAAGCCCAGAGTTCAGGCCCCGAGTTCAGGCCCCATGACCGGACCCCAAAAAACAAAACAAAAAAAATTTGTTTTTATTAGTGTTATTCTATTCCAGGCTCCTGCGTAGAGAATAGACTGTCCATAGCTAGAATGATTAGAATACCTTCTTACCCATATGAGGTTGTGGGCCATTGATCCTCTAAGTCTGGTGGTGGTTGTTTTTTCTGACTAAAATTTTAGAATTTATTCATGGTTATTACTCATGCCTAAACACATTTCTCTCATTATATCTTTTGACCCAAGAGCTTAAAATGTTGCACTTCTCATTCTCACCACTACAATGCATTTACTATGATGGAAGCATGACCTGTGTTATCAATTTAGCCATATTGCCCAATTTTGGATCTGAATCAACAGTGCCCATTCGTATCTGGAATGAGGCCCTAACCCAGTTTTGTGAATGGCATTTTCTGTCTCTTGTTAGTGTTCATTTAACAGTCCCTAAACTACTGAAGATGGTATTGTTTCTATGGTAAATCAAGCCATTTCTTGTCATCCCCTCCCCATTCTAGTTCAGGTTCAAATAAAATTCCAGAAATTGCCTTTTCATCCCTTGTAAACGTTGGAGGCACAACAGTCGATACCTGCCATTTGGTGTCCGTCAGAGCCTTCCATTCAAAGAAGGATAAAGTCTCATCTATTTGGGATGGTTGAAATGTCCCACTGAATACTGGGGGAGTGGACAAGATGGCCTCTTAGGTTTCCTTCCAGCCGTGTGATTCTGTGATTTGTGGCTCAAGGTCAGGATTTCACCCAGTACCCCCTTGTGAACAAGTTTTGTGACTTTATTCTCTGTTCTGCTACTCTTTAAAAACACGCGGTTCCCAGGTCATCTCTTTCTATTTTGTAACCTCTCCTCTTTTCACAAGTTCTTCCCTTCCCACCAGTCTTGTAGCATAGGCAAATGGAACTTAAACTTGTCCTTCCCCCAACCCATTTCTTATGTTCTTCTACCCTCTTTACATTAGGCTAGGAAAATATTAAACTTTTTTAAAGCTTTAAATATATCACTCCTTAAGCTTCCCTCACCCAGAGCTGCATAGATGACGTGTTTAAACCACCATGTAGTTTCATATAAATAATATTTCTGCCATATTTGCAGGGCACAATTCACTTCTTAAAGCTCTGTTAGGTACATTTGATCAATCTCTCACAGTGGCTTGGAGAGGAAAGCAAAGCAGGCATAATTCCTATATTTACTAGGAGAAACTGCAGGCTAGCAGTTTCATTCTCTGTGCTTTTCTTCTTCTTCCCTAAACACATGGCATACATGTTAGCGGGATGCATCTATAAAAGTACAGAAGTATAAGTAGCAGAAACACCTTGATTTGTGGTTTGACAGTTTGCAAGTACCTAATATAATCATACGTGTAGTCTGAAGCTCTAAAATCAGCAACAAAGAATGATTAAGCCTTATTTTTGTTGTTGTTGTTGTTATTTTGCCAGTCCTGGGGCTTGAACTATGGGCCTTGTGGCTTCCCCTGAGCTTTTTTACTCAAGGCTAGTGTTCTGCCACTTAAGCCACAGCTCCACTTCCAGCTTTTTGTGATTAATTGGGGATGAGTCTCATGGACTTTCCTGCCCAGGCTGGCTTGGAAGTGTGATCCTCAGATCTCAGCCTCTTGAGTAGCTAGGATTATAGGCATGAGCCAACAGTGTCTGGCATAAGCATAGTTTTGTTACTTGGCTGATTTTTGTTTGATTGTTCACCAAATTCCAATTGGGATGATTCTTAAAAAACTACTTACAAAGTTATATGGTGTAGAAATCAAGGCATTTTGTAGCATGGGTTTGAGTTACGCACAGTAGATAAATTTTTGATTCATTCAATGATGGTAAATGATGAAAGAAAAAAAATGTAAATGTAGAGCAGTCAGTGAAATGTCTACACCTCTGTTCCCCTATGTAAGCACTGGCAAAATATTTATAACAACCCTGTTGGACTGTGGTAAAATGAAGAAATGAATTTTTAATAGAAAGTTAAAGTGTTATGGGTTTTTTTGTTTTTTGGGTTTGTTTTTTTTTTTTGGATTTTTGTTTTGTTTTTGTTTTTGCCAGTACTGGGACTTGAACTCAGGGCCTGGGCACCATCTCTGAGCTTTTTTTTTTTTTTTCTCGAGGCTAGCACTCTACCACTTGAGCCACAGTACCACTTCTGGCAATTTCTGTTTATGTGGTACTGAGGAATCAAACTCAAGGTTTTGTGCAAGCTAGGTAAACACTCTTCCACTGAGCCACATTCCCAGCCCTAAAGTTTTTAATAAGTTATTTAGTGAAGTTGGAAAGTAACATGGGACATTTCTCAGCATGTTAATTTTTAAAAAATCTTTGAAATAGTTCTCAGGCATGATAGAAACACCTCAAATAAGCTGTTTTCACTCACAGTAAGTGAGTGAACCAGTGAGAATCATAAAACATTGATCTAATCCAATAGTTCCTAGAAAATACTAATCTACAAATATCAATCTAAACTTTATTTTTAAAAGGCATTTTTTGTAAGTCAAATCTAAATTAAAAGCTGGGTACTCATGCCTGTAATCCTTGCTACTCAGGAGACTGAGATCTAAGGAATATAGTTCCAAGCCAGCCTGGGTAGGAAAAGCCCATGAGACTCTTAGTTCCAATTAAGTACCAAAAAGCCGAAAGTGAAGGTGTGGCTCAAGTGGTACAGCATTAGCCTTGAGCGAAAAAGCTGAGGGAACAGAGCCCAAGCTCTTAGTTTAAGCCCTGGAACTGGCACATATCCACACACACACAAAAAAATTAAAAACCTTCCATAAATGGAATTATGTTCTAGTGCCTATCATACATACAAATAGCATAGCAAAACTCTAGTGATATCCAATTCCTCTGTGTGTGTGTGTGTGTGTGTGTGTGTGTGTGTGTGTAAGACAGAGTTTCTATCAAGGAATGTTAACAAGAGCCAATGAATTGATTTCTGAGTCGCAAAAGGACAATGTGAATTTGCCTTTTAATATCACACCTAGATTTTATAGAGCTAAATGTTATTTCATGAAGCAAAAGGGTATTAGTATATACATCCTAAAATACATTTATCATTTTTTAAAAATCTGTCATTTTGCTTAATAGCCTGAAAAATAATTATAACATCTAGTGGCTTTGAGGAACATGTGTTTTTAGTATCTTAATTACTATGTATGGTTTAATAACACTGCACCAAGAAGAATTCCCAAGTATTTTTTATTAAATTTCTTAAAAATGATTATTTGCTATATTTGAAATATGCGGGTCTAAAGGTAGCTTAACCTGGGTCATGTATTTTTATTCTTGCATATGAAATTAAATTACTCCAAATTGGAATATGATCTGGATTGCAAGCCTGTATGTTATTTGTAGCAGTGTTTGTGGTCATCTTGATTGAACAATAGAGGGAAATATATTGTTTTTTAAATTATTGTATTGTACTCTTTCATAATCTTTTTTCATTAAAATACTAGAGGGCAGATTCTATAAAAAGGGAATTCTAGCACCATATAGGCTACCAGATTTACAAATAAATATATTTCTAAATTATCTATTCTATCCATTGCTGAATATAGCACAGTATTTTAATAAACAGTTACAAATGGTTGGTCTCTGTCCCCATAAGCCTTTATTATAGGTAGCGTACTGATCTATAACAGACATCCACATAGATATGTTCAAATAGTATTTGAGAAGTTCAGAGATAACTTTTCAATCTGATATATTCATAAATGTGTCTTGCATTTGAACTATAAGCTCCTTAAGTATGAGGTCATGTATAGATACTTTTTTGTTTCCCTTCCTTCCTCTTTCTTTTTTCCTTTCTTTCTTTCTCTTTCTTTCTTTCTTTCTTTCTTTCTTTCTTTCTTTCTTTCTTTCTTTCTTTCTTTCTTTCTTTCTTTCTTTCTTTCTTTCTTTCTTTCTTTCTTTCTTTCTTTCTTTCGTCAGTTGTGACCCTGGGTGCTGTCCCTGAGCTCTTTTGCTCAAGGCTAGTGCTCTTTCACTTTGAGCCTCAACTCCACTTCTAGTTTTCTGGTGATTAAAGAGTCTCACAGACCTTTTTGACCAGGCTGGCTTTGAATTGTGACTCTCAGATCTCAGCTTCCTGAGTAGCTAGGGTTACTGGTGTGAGCCACAGGCACCTGTCTACTTTTTTTTTGTTTCTTATAGCAGCTATACAGTGGAATTGATCTGCCAATATAAAGGACTCAGTCTTTGCTGCCCTTAATTTATTTCTGAATTTAGATATGATTGAAGGTACTTTTCTCCTCAGTATTAGCCAGTTTCTCTAGTTACATCAGTTCAGTCTCATAAGGTCTAATCTGATTTTACCAAGAGAGAAAGTCATACTACTAGTAAATGATGATTACTGGGACTGGGGAATAAAGCCATCAATGCTACTGCTCTGCTTCCCCAGGCTCTTGCATAATGTGAACATGGTTGCAATCCACAAGTACATTTTCATATGCAATCAGTGCTCTGCATGATGACAGGAAGCCATACTTTAGTAGTTCATCTTTAGAATGAAAGGCTGCTTGGCAGGAGGCACGAACTTGCTAATTACTTATCTGTTACTATAGATAAGAATTAGGTTCAGTTTTAAGTACTAGACCTTACTACCCACCACCTCTTTAAAGCCACTGAGCACTTGATGCTCAGGGTGGGATGGTCTTTGATGGGATCACTGAACCAAAAGCAAGCAGAGCCAGCAGGATCCATTAAGCCACCTGAGTCACATGACTTCGGTGTGTGTGTGGGGGGGTGTTCATATTGTGTTAATCATCCTTTCAACTCATGCCCTGGAACTCAGTTCTTCCGCCTCCCTGGATACCTTACAATAATGAATCTTCTGCCTCCTCCCTCCTTCTAGAATGGCAAAATTAGCATCCTATTAGTCAGTGGGCTTGTGTGCCAAAAAACTCAGTTGTTGAGGGCAATGTATTCTGATTGCGTTCTTCAGTGAACGTGGGAGAGGTGCTGTGAGGGTTGTTCTAAGGCCCTCCCCATTTGAACCAGAACAGTGTGAATTTTAAAACTCTTTAGATATTGATTGTTCTACGTAAGTTCTTCACTGAATGAATTCCATCTGCAAAAACAGTTTTAAAAAAATCCCTCTCAGCCTGCTCTGAAAACTAATATTGGAGGTTTAATCCCATGTAAGCCGTAGCCTCATTTGAGCATTCATTGAATGAATCTGCTAAATGTTAATGGTACATAACAAAGTCACAAATGTCCTCACAAATGTCCAGCAAAGCTCCTAAAATGACTGTTGGTCAAAATGGAGTCCAGATTGGAGAAGGTGAATGGCTTGGTGATAGCATTAGTTCTGTTGGAGGTAGTAACAGATGGTCCATGTTCAGAAGGTCTTCTGAACACATTCAAGTTTCATTACCTATGA